TTTACATTAGTAAATTCACTAACATGGTGTTAAATATACTTTTCTCACCTTAATTATTCTCTTCCTTTCACCTCTTTTAACAGGTGGTGGTAGCTAATTAAGTGCTTGCTTTCTGGACTTGGAGGCCAGTGTCCATTTCCATGACTGCTAGAGGAGATGTAAAGTCATTTGTCTAAGTGATATTTGTCTAGATCAGCTTTCTAGGCATAGCACCAAATAAGATCCCACTGCTAACTAGGTGAAGAGAGAAGTCCAGGCATACATTAGACAGAAGCCCAGAGGAGAACTATCAACTTCAGCCTAGCAAAGAATACCAATTCTTCTCCTATCCTCATCAGTTGCAAAGGGATACCTTGATAAAAATGGTGCCCAGAAGAGTAAGTTAAGTGCCAACAATCACAGAAGTACTTATAGCAGAACTCCAAGTACAGACCAGTCCAGACCCTCTATACCACAAAAATAGCCATTCTGTTCAGCAAGTAGCCCGCTTAGAGGTTCTTGTTCATTCTTTTGTGCTTGACTGAGCCTTTAGCTTAACTCAGCTTCCACCTTGTGTGAGTTGATACAGTGCATGCTGGCAAGGCCTGGCAGGTCTTGTTGAGTGTTCTGCACTTAACCCACATATGACAGCTGTGTTACCAGCACGACATTTCATGTTGCCTGCCTCAGTCCTGTGTGTGCCTCAAAATTATTCGCTAAAATCACTGTCAAATTCCCTTCTATCAGTTTGTCCCTTTGCATTTCTGGTATTTTCCCTATTGTACTGTGCACTACCATGTGGTCAGGACTGTGTGCATAGTATATTACCATTTGTCTGTGCTCTACCTTTTTGTAGTTTTCTTGCTAAAATATTTCATTATATTCAGCGTGTTCGCAAAACTTAGCAAAATTATTCATATACTCTCTAATCATTTGCAGCCTTTGTTAGTTTAAATCCTCCTAATATGTTAACCATTATCATTTGTAAAGTCTTTAGGGATGGTATACTAAAGCCTTTTGCCATAAAGCAGTATATGAACAGATTGCTATTTACATTCGGTATTGATCTTCTGTTTATCTTCTTAAAAAATTCAGTGAGGATGGTCTCAGATCTGTAATACTTTAACCCCTGCAGTTTTATTTCATGACTTCATCAATGGAAAACTGATAGGCAAAGCACTGAGATGTAGAATCTTCAGGGCATAATTGTGGGGCTGATGGGAACAAAAAAAAATCTTGTGGTCACTTCTAAAAATTAAATCAGGCGAGAAACAAATAGAAAATCCTTTGTGTCAAGAGTTTAAAAAAAAACACCATAATATCGTATGTAAGAAGAGAGTGAGGCAGGCTATCTTTTGAGAAGTGCAGCTAGTTTATATTTCATAAGCACTTTTTCATTCCAGGTTTTTAATCTTTACTGCTTCTCTGAGCCTAGATAAAAGTGGCCTAGTTTCATCTCCTCCCTTTGCTTTTCCTCATATGATTTAATGTTATGATGATTAAGAGTTGCTCCTGATAGGAATTACACTGCAGGAAAAATAGTGTTAGGTTTGTTTCTGGTTCTCCTCTTCCTTGTCTGGAATGTGAGGCAGCTCCAGAGCTGTATCCCTGTGAGAAAGCACTTTGCACAGTCCTGTAAACTGCAAATTGGTATGTAGATTATGATTAAAATCAGAGCACTAAGATGAGAAGAAACAGACAGAAAATGTATAATTATGGTTTGATATTTAACTTATTCCTACTCCACTATCCTGTCTTTCAGCAATGGTTTAACATGTATAAACCCATAACAATCAACACAACTCTTCTCTCTGAAGAAGCTGATTCCTTTGTAAACAAGCTGGACCCCAATAAGGTATTTAAAAGCAAGAACAAAACTCCAGTGATGAAAAAGAAACAACCCTCCCAGCCAGCAGGTGTCCAAAAGAGCAACACTAACATGCCGTCCACCAAGACTTCCTCACTAGCTGGGAATTCTTCAAGGAAGTGAGACCCACAAATCTGACCCTGAAAAAAGCAAGAAGCTTTGATGTTTTCTGATGCAGAATCTCAGTGGTTAAAACAAGCTCCATTTGTGTGAATAGGATGCAGGATTTGCATGAAATATAACCATAGAATCACAGAATCATAGAATACCCCAAGTTGGAAGGATCATCAACTCTTACACCTGGTTCTATGCAGGACCACCCAAAACTCAGCCATATCAATGATGACACTTCTTGAGTTCCGTCAAGTTTGGTGCCATGACCTGTGGAGCCTGTTCCATGCTCACCACCTTCTGATGAAGAACCTTTTCTTAACACCCATCTATCCATCCCCTGACACAGCTCCATGCCGTTCCCTTAGGTCCTGTTGCTGTCACACAGAGCAGAGCTCAGTGCTGCCATCTGCGTCCTGTGTGGAGCTGCAAGCCATCAGGGCTCCCCCTGAGCTCCTCTGCTCTGGACTGAACCAACCAAGGGACCTCAGCTACTCCTGACACACCTTGCCCTCTGGACCCTTCATGGGAGGTGTGTATTTCCGGGCAACTTGGATAACAAACCTTCAGACATTGATTTAATTCTCTCCTGCTTGCATTATGTACTTTTCAGAGGGCATGAGGAAGCCCTTGATGTCACTGCTCTGTAGGGTACCTGTTATTCCTGTATAACTACAGCAGTGAAATGAAAGTAAACGTAAGTCACTATTACTTTAATAGATCACTCATGCTGAATTACAGAGTATATTTCTATCATTTCCTTTCAAAGTAAAGTGTCCCGACCTTGCATGTTATGGGAGCAGGCTGGAACCCACAGAACAAAGAAATATCTTCCACTTCAGACAGACTCAAACTCTACATTTCCTGTGCTCCTTCCAACTTCTGCTCTGATTCACACTGAAGAGGAGCCCAGGGCTTCCGTGTCTCTGTGTTGGCCTAGACATACTTGCTCTACAGTCCAGACCACTTCTTAGCCTTTGTACCATTTCTTTTCAGATAGTGATGTCTGTGTGATGTCCTTTCCAATTAGCCTGCCAGCAATCAGAACCTGCAAGGTCCTTTGTTGTCTCCACTTTCTCCTTTTGTGGGAAATGCTGAGCTAGGACAGCAGAGTTCTGGTTTTCTGCACTGGATGTTTTCAGGGTCGAACTGCACTTTAGCACATTGATTTCTGATGTTCAGTTGCATCCATTTCCATTACTTTTATGTGCCAGTTTGTCCTCTTAGATATGCTGAAACCACCTGGTAGCATGTTTTATGTCTAAGCAGGGAAATAAAAGTCACCATCCCCAAATAAGAGTTGATTATTTAAATAACAGCATTTTTTTATTTATGAAATGCTCACATAATTACATAAGACCAACCTACCTCACAGGGATGTTGTGAGTCTTTTGCAAGTGTTTGTATGGCCTTCAGGAAGATGAAGCCACCCTGTTAAATGCTTAACAGTATTTTAATAAAGATTTAAATATTTTCCTCCAGAGTCATTGGGTATTTAAAATACCTTTGGGAACACATGCAGAAGGATGTACAGTAACAGTAGGGTGCAGGCTGGATTTTTTTGTTGTTGTTGTTTTAACGCACCGGAGAGACTTTCACTGAGAAGGGGTAAGTTACACATCTTTTAAGCTGATCCCACCCTAAGCTGCATAGATGAGAAGGCTCATCTGTGTGACAGCTTTTCTACTTCCATCCTATGTTCATTGTTCAGGATTTCTGCAGCCAGCATCTCCGGCATTTTGCTGGCTTCTAGCACTTACTGCAGTCCACCTTTAATGGAGATTGCTGACAGAGACCACAGGAGTTGCCTGACATCTGCCCTCTACCACCCCCTACATAAGAAAACCCTCTTGTACTCTTTTGCCCTCTTAAGCTGATGGCATCTTGTGCCCAGAGTAGCTGCTCTACTAATAAAATGTGAACTCTGATGAGGAAACAGATATGGTACCTACCATCTAATCCCATGCCACAGTAATACAGCAGTAATCCTTTTGGTATTGTGACATGAATGGCTGTTAAAGCCAGTAAATGCCAGTTTCTGAAATTCTGTATGACAGTGATGATGAACAGTGTAGAGCCATGTATTCTGTCTCTGTTGTATCCAGCCCTTGTACCACAGTCATATTCCTGACATGTGTACCATACTTGCTAAAGCATCTCCCAGAAAAGTTTGCCTTATCACCCAGCCTGGAGATAGGCTGGTGCTGCTGACAGTGTTGTACTTTCGGTCCAGTGGTGCTACAGATCTGCAAGGCTACTGCTTGCCCGTTTCCTCATTCAGACTTATGTTGCAGAATTGATGCAGGAGCACAGTGGTGTATTCCCATGTTTCTCTTACAATCAAAGTGGAGAATCAAGTTTTTTTGACATTTGGATATGCTGCCACAGAAATTGTCTGGATCCTCTCGTAAGGTTGTAGTTAAAGTCTAACCCATCAGTTACAATGCATGCAGCTCCATCACACCTGCATAGTGCAAAACATCTAGCCTGTTCCAATGAGGCTATGTTCAGTGAGGAAAACTCTCCAGACTACTTCTTTATCAGACTTCCTTGCTCTTCTCTACAGATATTCAGGGCCAGGTGGAATGGGGCCTTTGGCAGCCTGATTTACTGGTTGGCAACCCTGCCCATTGCCCACACAGGCGGCTGGAACTAGATGATCTTCAAGGTCCCCTTCAACCTGATTCTCTGTGCTCTGACAAACTGATAATAGTTAAGGTGACAGATCAGCAAATGGAAACAAATCTGAGCCCCTGATTCATCAGTGTAATATCTACAATTTTTAGCAGAATATTCCAGATCAAAACTTCTTTGTTTCTGCAACAGTGTAGGTATTCCCTGATTTTCACTTGACTGATTTTCATTCCAGCCATGTTGAATCTTACATTTGATTGCAATCAATTTACAGGTGACTGGTGTTTTGCATCTCCAGAATGTGATTTTGGGGAGCAGATTTTTACTCAGAAAGATTGAATAATTTCTTCAGCTCATAAACAGGTCTAGCCCTTCTCAGGTCTGCTCAGTGTCTCAGAGACCCTGTTTGTCTGGTTAAGCAGAACAGATTTATTTTAAGCTACTCTTTCATTTACTCACCCGCAAGGTGAGAAAAGCATGCACTTCAGCAATGCCATTGCACATGCCCTTACCCACTTGGTTACTCTTCAGCTGTCAAGGTATGTGCCCACCCAGGATTTGCTGTCAGGATGGCCATCACAATGTGGAACTTTCAATGACTGTCTGTCCTTTCTCATTTCCACGCTCCAGGACAGGTTGATTGTGAATATCAATTAAGAGTTTGTAGATTAAACCACCAGCAAGACTTCCCAGTGTTGGAGCTACAAGTGGCACCCACCACCAGTAATTTCCAGCCCTAAAATGAAACACAGAAGAGGTATCCAGTGAGCTACACAGGAATTGCTGCCCTGCTGCTGTGAGGTGAGCTGAGTGCTAGGACTGAACTTTGTGAGCAGAGGTGTCTGGTGCCATTTCACACACTCAACTGTCTAGATAGCTTAGATAAATTCTGGATCCATCAGTCTAATAGCTGGAAGGAAGGTAACTTTTGCTATTGGCATGGGAAACTGGCTCAGCATGGTCTTCATGAAAATGAGCAGCTAAAACAGGACAGAGACTCTGCTAATGCCTTCACCATGGAAAAAGCTGTAGTGTGAAACCATCTTAGTAGATTCTGGAAAGTAGAGTAGATACAGACACCTGAATTTAGGAAAGCAATTCAGCAATCCAACTGCAAGTACTTGCTTTCTGGTGATCCAAATCATAGTCTCTCCAGTCACTGCAATAGCAGCTCAATCTCTAGCTAAGAGGTGGATTGTTCCTGGTTTCTGAACTGGGACATCCAAATGTCAAGGTGAATCCAATACAGGAGAACTGCATATCCCAGATTTTGTGAACAGAATGCATGGAGTTTCTCTGTGCACAATATTTGCTTTCTGCAAAGGAGTACACAGGCTCCATGACCATGTTATCTTGGGCTTTTCTCATTCCCAGAGAGCTGTACAGTGTGAAACCAGGTCACTCACCTGAAGACATCCACTCCCCAGCCAGCAATTGCTGTGAAGATTCTCGGTGGCAGGTCCCGGGAGGGGTTTATGGCGTAGCCTGTGTTCATCCCCATCCCCATGCCGATGCCCAGAACCAGGATACCTGTGAGCAGAGCCTGTGTGCCTTTCAGGGCTCCATTATTTTTCTCATCATGGATGACCAAAATGCCCAAGAACAACATCACCGTCGCCATAAACTGCGGGAGCAGTAAAGGGAGAACAAGTGAGGGGAGAGAGCAAAGGCAGGAGGATCCCACTCAGCAAAGAGAGACTTCCCAGACTGTCTGAGCAGATGGGATGGTAAGTCATGATAAGTCATCAGGGGCCCTAATGTTATTCCTTCCTCGTAAGTGACTCTGAAAAATAGACAAGTCATTTCCCAATGAAAATGTGTCCACACCAACAACAAAAATATTCTAGAACTGACACAAGCTTCTCAGCACTGTCAGCACCCTCCATCTTTCAAGTTAAGGGCATAAGTTATTTAAAGTACTTTTTGTTCAACAGACACAGAGCCATAACAAACAAATAATGAGACAAATCTCATCATTCCTGGCAAGACTGATGGATTATATACCTTGCTGCATCCACCCTGTTAAGAGTGAAGGTAGATAATGGATTCTTATCTGGGAAACAGAATATCCTGTCTCTGACAACACACTGTAGTCAATCATAGATCTGCAGTGCCTAAGACATCAGTGACAGTTGTTTGTATAGAGATGATGACTCCTGTCTCTATCTGCTTCAGAAAATGCCCCTGGAGGACCTTGGACTGCTTGCAGAGATACTACTAGAGCAGGAGCCCTGTCGCTCTTGGTAGCATGTTTTCATTTTCACTTGCTTTCTTGTGCAGCAAGGCAACCACACAATCACAGGAGACAGAGCAGTCAGATGGTTCTATGCAGGATCTCCAGCTCTCACCATCCTCCTGACTGTCCAGGCACAGCGTCCTCAGCTCAGAAACAAAAGAAGAAGCCTGTTGATTCCTTGTCCCCATCATTCTGTGCTCTTGCTCAGCCCTCAAGAAGCTCTGGACACTACCAGTCAGGCATCTGCCTGGATGGTGGGCTGCTTGTAGCTTAGGTGGTGACTGTGTCTGCACATGTAGAGCTGAGTCCCTTGCCCAGACCTTGCACTAGGGTCTACTACCACCCAACTTTTCCCAACACGCCACAGCTGTCCCCACTGACCTCTGTGAAAAAGCTCCCGGACAAGGACATATAGGGAGAAGGGTAAGTGGAGAAGATCGATGCTGTGCCAGTTGGTCCTGTCACCGTAAAATTCCCCTTGGTGTAGTCATACAGTGCTTCTAGGAGAGATGAGAATTACAGGAGTAAGGACAGTGGCCAGTACAGAGTTCATCACACATGGCATGTTCACAAGTCCACCCACTGCCCACTTTGTATCAGCAAAGACACAAAGAGAGATAGATAGGATAGAATCAACACACCCCTTGAAGGGCACAGCCTCAGTGATATCTGTCACCACAGACTTTAGCCTGCAGCTGCTTGTTTATGCAGTCCAACTCCGTGTCCCTGCTCAGAGACATGGGGCTGGATGCTCTGGGTGTACTGAGTGGCCTCCATTCCCCCACTTCTCAGAAAGTGAAACATGCTGGAGCCTACCAGTGTTGGATCCTCTGCTCATAAACATGAGTTGCTGTCCTATTTTCCACAGACCAGAGCTCTAGCTGTAGCTGATTCTTGGTAACACAGCTAACAGAAGCCTTTGCAGGCCTTTTGGTGACAAAATGCATGTTTTTAATGGTTTTCTTAATATATTTTTTTTTACAAAATTACCAGTCTAGAGACGGGCTTTGGCAGTGGGAATGCCCCATGCAAAAAGGAGAGGTGTTCTCCAGGAATATCCTTCCAGAGATACCTTGGCCCTGCCCTGACCTTAAGCCATAAAGATCTGGCCCATGATCTAAGAGGTCATGACATCACACTGGGTGCTGTGACAAGAAACATTTTTGATGAACTGTGAGTTGAGACTGAAAAAGTACCTACAGTAACCACAATGATACAGACGTAACCATACCATAGTAGAGTCCAAAGACAGTGGCTGCTCCCAAAAAGGAGCCCAGGAACTGGCCAAGCAGATAAGCTGGAAGCTTTCTCCAGGGGAGGTTTCCAAAAATGCAATGTGTGAGTGTGATGGCAGCATTCAGATGAGCTCCTGCAAAACCACAAAGGAGAGATGTATTGGCCCTATTGCACCTAATTTGGAGCATGCCCCATACCCGACATCCCAGAGCAGAGACTCAGACCTTGCTCCAGAACATTAAGCTCCAAGACTCTACCAGGGCAGGGGGTCCCTCCTATATAAATACAAAACTGTCTCCTTTCCTTTGGCAGCTGAGTGATGCAAGGAGGGAGTCCTTAGTGTCCGTTCTTTTGGAGTTAGACATCCTTTGCTCAGCTCTCTGGAGAGCACAGGTTGCCTCCAGAGAGTCAGTCATCTCACCTGTCAAAGGCAGCTTTCTTGGTCCTCTCCTGTAGGAACCTCCCTTGGTTCAACTTAAAGAGATCCCAAACCTCAGACTCATCACTCCCAGGCTACAGGTAGGTGAGCTGCATCTCAAACCATGAAAAAAATGCCTTCTGAAAACATCTGAAAAGGTCTGATCCTGACAGAGCAGATCTCTCCAGCTGATGTGGAGCTGTGGGCTGATAACACATTTGGCAGCAAGGTAATGAGGCAGTGGGGAAACAAACTGCAGAACTGATCACATTTGCAAAGCAAATTCTGCACGAGGTTAGCTCTCGAAATCACTGCAGCGAGCAGTTAATAGAATGATCAGTTGTGCAGACCATGGTTACAACCATGGGTCTGAAGCAGACACTGTCCTTCCATTGTGGGGGACAGGACTGCATTTCCTTACGACTTCCAACATTTAGCTTTCTCCTCCCGTGCATTTGGAAAGGGGTAAGATCCAGACCAATACCATGTCATCAAAATGCAGGATGGAGTGAGGTAAAGTTCATGTGCCATCTGCTGCCATCCCGCAGCTGCAAGAGAAATGGGGGGAGATCTCTTTTTCTTCAAACTTCTCTGGTCCTCTCTGTGGATGACCAGCCACTTCAGGGGTCACAAGAAGCATCTTGTGATACAAATGAAGCCAAATCACAATGTCAAGGAGCCCTTACTGGCCCTGGAGCTACCCTGCTGCTGGCTGATCTGAGACCTCTTCTCCTTTGCTCAGCCCACTTCTCCCAGTGTGTCTCCACAGCTTCCTAGAGGGACTTCAAGTTGACTCTCCGGACAGAAAAAAGATTTCTTTCAAAGCTGTCCCTAGTCTTAGACACCTCTGTGTCCTTGGACACAGCAGTGTGATCCAGCAGTTCAAGAACAAAGACTTACTTGCCTTAATTTTCTGCCCACTAGAGCCCGTAATCACTTAACTTGGTGCAAATGAATGCAGAAATTGCACAAGTCAAAGGTAATGCTCTGTCATGTGAGAGATATCACCCTATGGCCCCGAAACACCACTTCCTGAAACACCACCCCCTGAGATTGTGGGGGGGTGCCTGGTGTGAGCGATAAGGAGAAAATTTCCATACTATTCCTTGTTGCAACATCAACAATAAGCTTTCACTTGCAATAAATGATTTACTTCCCCATGGGTCGTGTTGGCAGCATGCTTCCAGATCTCCTTATCTCTCAGGCCACGTTCTGATGGCATAACCCAAGTGCCTAACATGGGCACTGCTGAAACGTGACTCCGCTGACTGCAAGGGAAGTGATGGCTGCATCTCTGCCATTCTCCTGCCCCACTTGCCTCTGCCCATCCCCACTGGTGAGCAGGAAGTCCCAACAATACCGAGTACATGTCCTGCCCTGCTTTGGCAGAGCCCTGAGGGAACAATGGGCCCTAATTCCTCTCATGAACAATGTAGGAACAACTTTCTCTGCAGTGCCCCTCCTCTTCACCCCCAGAACACCCTGGGTGCTTGGCTGCCCGTTCCCTGTTTAGTCTTCATACTGAGCAGCCCTGTAACCCTGTCTCTGACAGCCAATTTTTCCAGAAGAGCTGCAAGAGCCTCACCTGGACCATCAACCCATCTCACTAAGCCCATAATGTGTGTTTGGAGTCAGCAGACTGTCAGTGCACAAGGACTGCCCTGTCCCCTGCTGCTCTTGACCTGGCTGTGCATTGTGACCCCCTCAGTGCCACCTCCCCACCAAGGACTTGGCTGTGATCACTGGATCACGAGGCCCCATGACAGCTACGGTTCACCACACCTGTTCTGCTCTTCTTCTCTGGGGCTGAAGGATTGAATTTTAGCAGGAGAGGCCAGAGCCCCACCATGCTGTGCTATCACCCACTGCTCTGCAACCACTCCTGCTGCCCCTGGCACCTGGGGCCTTTAGAGACATAGAGATTATGCTCAAGTGTCTTACCAGAGATGCCTCCAGCTGCATGGATCCCCATGGTGACTCCAATGCCAAATCCCAAATTGATGCTCAGATACTGCCCAAATTCTCCTTTTCCTAATACCACTTGTGCCACAGAGGATAAGCCCAAGACCTAGTGCACAGAAAATAAAGAGGGAAAGGGGTGTTGAAGTAATGTTATTGCCATATTGGATTGGGTGTCCTTGTAGCTTTTTCTGCAATACCAATTATCCTTCAAAAATGGGAACAGCTTAAGGTGCCCGTGGTCAGGAGATCAAGTGAAAATGACCCCTTCTCTCCAAAAACTGAGCAGGAGCTTGAGTACCCCTTACATTCCATCACACCAATGCAGATGCTCTGGTCTTCATTTGGTATTAGGACCCAGATATAATGTCCAGGGTGCACACATGGTGGCACACTGTGCTTGCAGCACAAGGGATATGAGCCTGGGGACCTTCACCACAGCTACCCCAACACATGTGCCCTGCCATATGGAGGGAGGGTGGGCAAGTTGTTGTCATCTTTCCTTTCCTAGTGTGCAGTTTATTGGCCAAAAAGAGTAGTTTAGGCAACACACATCTGTTTGTCAAACTCAACTCTAATTTTGGTAACCTGTTTCAGCCAAAAACTAGGAAATTAAATCCAGTTGAAGTTTTTGACACAAATACGGTTCAGTTTGAAAACACCCAGTTTCAATATTTTTGTAGTGACTAAAAGGAAACTGGAAAAAAAAAATTAAAAAGAAATGCAATCACTCTCCAGCAGGAAAGGACATATTTAAGAAATTGCTCTAGCCTTTGGATAAATTCTGTTTCACTCATTCACTGTGGTCTTGAGGTTGGAAAAATCAGTTCTTGCACAGTTCTAATACTCAGATCTGGAGAAGGACAAAGCTTCACTTAAGGTCTCTGCATCTCCAACCTCTCAGAACTTGGAAAGCATGCCCTGTACTATCTAACTTCTGCTCTGTCCCATTCTGCTTTGATTTGAATCTTTACTGACTGCTGTGCATGGATTTAAATTTAATCTCATGTGTCTGCTCTCCCTTCCAGACATCTCCCAAATCCACTGCCCCCCAGAAACTCTGCTCTTATCTTTCCTGTATACACAGACCACACTGTGTTCTGCATGAAGCTGCAGCCTCAGTGTGGGACCTTCTCTCAGCCTGCCTCAGCGAAACCCCAAAAAGCAGTATCCCTGATGTCCCTCAGCAACTGCAAAATCATTACAAAAACTTTGCTGACTCATTTCTGAGTTTTTCCAAAGCTGGATCCAGAAGCCAAATGCACAAAGCTCTGTTTTGGCAGGATGGTATGCAATCAAGGAGGGCAGGGCAGGAGCCCTGGCTTTTAGAGCTCAACAACTCTACCCTGGGGAAAAAAAAATAAACGAAAGTTAGCACAGGACAGAGAATCTATTTTTCATCACAGACCCAAACCTCTGGTCACCTACTCCCATAGACACAAAGTAGTAGTTTTCCCTGCCTCTCCATTCTTCATGCCATTTACTCCTGATGCCTTGTTCCCTCCTTTAGGAAAATCACTTGTTCATTAAAAGAGTCCTTGTCTGTGTATCATCCTCCCAACAGAACCCAGCCAGGAGTCCAAGGGATGCAACCAGCACATTTCCAGCTGCACCGAGGGCCATGGAGTTGCTGAAGGGTCAGATGCTGGATGCTGCGTTCAGACGCTGGATGCTGCTTGTCACCAGTCCTTGATGGGGACAGTGTGCAGCATCCCTCCTCCTGCTCTTTTCCCTTATGGGGCTCAGTGAGGAAAGAGCTAGCACGGGCTGAAAGCTCCGAAATCTCTCTTGGACTGTCCTCGGGCAAATGATTGTCTCCTCCCTGCACAGAATGCCCTGGCAGGGCCCCTCAGACTCGTTCCTTATGACCAGGGGTGTCCAGCCATCAAAAAAAAAGAAAGGGAATGGAAAGGCAAATGGTTTGTTCAGCTCAGCTGGGGAGTCACAGGAGTCTGTACTCTAACTTCCAATGTGTGCAAAACTACCTGTATGGCAGGAGTGAACTTCAAGGGGCAGGACATGCAGTAAGATGTGATGAGAAGAAAGCATCCTTTGCACACACGGTTGTTGCCAATGGAAACAAGGAATGACATCTGTGAGGACAGGTGTGTCTGAGGGCCCCTATGCTCACACTAATTTTATCTTTCTCCTATACAAATGTCCTAAAGCGTGAGTTATTTGGATTATCCCCCATGCTCAATCTGGCCCAAAGTGCTTCTCTCAAACTGTAAGTGCTATGGGTGAAGCGCAGGTGTGGTAAATTGGCATCAGACCTTTGCAGAGAGGGATCTTGTTCTGCTGTGTTGCTCCAGTGCAAAAGGTTCTGAACTTGGTGGGCATGTTACTGCTAACAGAGATCAATTCTGACTGCAAAGCCTCACCCCTGCCTTCCTCACCCTCTTCCCCTCAGCACCTCCAAGCAGCCCAAAGCTCACAACCACTTCACTTTTTCTGCGTGCAACAAATGCCTCAAGCAAGAGGAGAGTTTCTGTATGATTTGTACCATCCATTATAATAAGCACCATCCATTTGCCAGCATGTAACAACTATAAGCAGAATCCTGGCTGCAGGCCACGTGCTGCAGACACCTGCCCAGACCACCCCATCCTTTCCAGCATGGTTTGAAGAAAAGCATCAGCATCATCTGCAGCACCAGCAAAGAGTAACAGCCTGTTCTTGAGCAGCCCTGAGGATGTGATAGGAAACTTCAGGCCTTACAGCTTCCTGCTGCAAAAGCTGCCCTCACTCATGCTGCGCAAACACACACATCTGGGCACACCTCCTCCTTACCATCAGCACGTACATCCCCAGTGCTTCTGCCAGCAGCTCCCTGACGGAGCTGCTACGGATTGTCAGCATCTTCTGAATCTTCTCCAGCATTTTACTCTTCAGATCCAGCCTGCAGCTGTACAGAAGATCCTGTTGTGACAGCACACTTCATTGCACTGAGCTGTTACCCTTTGAAACTTGGCACCCTCCCTTCACCCCCAGACACCTTCATTCATTTGGTTAAAGATGAACAAGCCAATAAAGTAGCTGCAAGCTTCGAGGCTTCCACACACAGACACCATCCTTTTAAAACTAAATGGTGAGCATGCAATGTTTCTGCCAGCAGAGTGCTGCAATCTCTTGAGTCTCTGCCCATCTCCCAAGCAATGGAGCTGTAGACCGGTGTGCTCCTAAGGCCACTCTCTTTCTCCATTGCCTTACAATCGTAGAATCATAGAATCAACAAGGTTGAAAAAGACCTCCGAGGTCATACAGTCCAACCATCTGCCTACCACAAATATTTCCCCATTGCACCATGTCCCTTAGTATAACATCTAAATGTTTCTTGAACACCTCCAGGGACAGTGCTGAACAGGTACTGTGGTGGTGCTTTGCACTATAACCCCCTAGCTGATGGTTTGGTGCCATTTTCCTTTACAGGATGGATTAGGCCCATTTGCTGGTGTTTGGCAGGGTGGCTTGGTGCATGCCCAGTCTGTGATGAGGATGTTCTGTGTGGTGCTGATGTGCAGCTCTGCCTGCATCTGGGCAAAGCACAACACCTTGGGTGTTGCGCCAGGTTGAATGTTTCCTCTCCCTGTGCACTCCCTGTGCTGTGCTCTAACTTCTGGTTGGTTTTCTCCACCTTTTTCTTAACCTGCAGCTTCTCAGTGTCTTTCTGTAAGGGGTGCTCTGGAAGAGCCACCAGCAGCTGCCCTGATGGGGACACAGCGCTCAGCCCACACTGTCCTCCCCTCTGCGATACCACACTGCAAAAGTTCATGATCTATTCTCTCACTTGTAGGACTGAGCATCTGCAAGAAAGAATCTGGGATGCTGCTTCTCTTCCCACCTCTTCAGATGATTGGCTTGCAGCAGGGAAGAGTCCCATGTACTGGGGTAAGCCCTGGAGAGCTCACAGCATTTCTCAGATGGAAGAGGGTCAAGTCAGTCCATACCCACAGCCAGACCTGCAACTTCACTTCTGACCCCTGGATTGTCCTTCAAGCAGACTCCTTCCCCTTACAGCAAGACAGCTGCTACATCTCTGAAAAGTTTTTCTCTTTTATTCCATAATAGGAATATTTTATCTATATCTATATCTTTTATATATATATATGTATCTTTTATTCCTTAATGGAATAAAAGAAGGAATAGGAATAATAGAAGGAAGCCTTAACAATAGGCATTTATATATTCTAATTCATGCTGAAAAATGAGGAAATGTTTTCTAGGAATGCTGGTCTCCCATGGACTTAGACTCTTATCAGAGAAAAAAAGCAAAATTTGGTGTAGTGATAATATTTACAGCACAATCACTGAAATTGCCAGCAAACCAACTAGAATTCCAGCATGCTTCTGGACTGGCATCACTAGTCACAGTGGCACTGGATGTGCCTCTCTCCAATGCCTGCCCTCTTACACAATTCATTCCACAAGATGGCATTGAGGCATTAATTTTTCACCTAAAAATGTTCAGATGGGTTCCTCTGTCAGATGCTGAATATGCGAGAACCTTTTAGTTTAGTTTTGTTCTGTTTTAATACAACTGCATACATCAAATGAAGATAGTCTGCTAATGAAATGAAAATAATGAAACCTTTCTGTGAGTCCTATAGGGCAGAGTATCATCACACAAAACCAAAATGTGTGAAACTGGACCTGTCAGCCTCCACTTTACCATAAGCAGAGAAGAACAGCTCTAAATGGCAGTCCATCCCCACCTAGAATAAGCATCTGAAGCCAAATCTGTGAGTCAGACCAGCTGCTGGCATCCCTTGGTGTCTGTAGTGGGGACCTTGCAGAGGTGCACAGCACCAGCAGAGATGGGCTGCCCCAAATATCTGCACCCAGCTGAGGTTACTTGGTGAGTCAGCCAGGGGCCGGGAGCAGAGCTGCAGTCACACAGCCTGGCTTGTTCATGCTTGCCTGGCTTCACTCACCTGCAGGGCTGGCAAGGGGCTCTGGGGTCATCAAAAAGCCCCCGGCCAGTATGAACACCACCTCTTCCTTTTCATGACTTGACTTGTCTCCATTTCAGGTGTAAGGGCTTTTTGTCCCTACTTCTGGTGGAAGCCTTTTATCAGACCTTGACACCGTGAAGGTTAGAGTTTCTTCTAACTTCCAGCCAAATTCTCAAAATCATGTTCCAACCATATTCACACACCAGCATCAGCCCAACACAATCATGAGTTAACTCTTCTTAGTACCATCCTATAAGGTTTTCCTGTAAATTTTATTGGAACAGAACGCTCTCTCTCAGCTCCATTCTGCCCTGACGCTTACCTTGACTTACTCACCTGTTCAAACTTCACTCAACGTTGACTCTATGAAAGATGTACAAAGTTTTCCATCACACATTAAGCCATCACCTGCTAACGTAAAATTTTCTTCCCCAGGGCAGGTACTCTTCCAGCACTAGTAGTATAGGTCTCAGTTTGGAGAGGAAGGTCTCAGCAGAGCATTTTGGTACAGCCAAGGCCCACCTTTAGTACTGGTGTTGACACAAATCATGCTGAAGAGCAGGGCTAAGCACTCCCCTGGTTTGGATGAGTCCCCATGCACTCCAGAGCTGTCACACTTCCACACGGAGAAACTCCTCTCGCTTGGTTTGACAGTGCACATTTCCTCTGCACTCAAAAGCTCATTTATCTCTTAATTGTGCTAATCAGCATCTGGAATACTGCCAGTCCATTAGCCCTGCTGGTGGAGTATTAACTTCTACCCAGAGAATGAGAGGAGCCTGGCAGATAGCACAACAGAGGAGCTCCTCACAGTGGATGAGAACAGCTGACTACTCCATGGCCTTCCATGTAGCATCCACCTCCCTTGTCATTGCTTCTTGCCCCACAGCTGGCTGAAGGTGTATCACCCACACGTGCCATCAGCACACCCGTGCCTTCTGCATCAGGTGCACCAAGAAATGCCATCATCTCCAGAAAGGTCCTAAAGGGACTTTTCCAACCAGTTCCCCGTGAGGCACAGCCCACTTCCAGCTCCTCTCCTATTCACTGCTTTCCCCGTTGCAGTTGGTGACTCCCACCCAAGGTGCAATCACTGCCCAACAGATCAATGACACAAGACCTATTTTCATTCTCTTCATGGGCCCCTAAAACAAGAACAGGTCTTACCATGCCAGGCAGGGCTGAGAACTGAAGACAGAGGGATGTGGCAGTATGTGAGTGGGAACTTGCTCCAGCTCTTCTCCTCACTCTTTGAGAGAATGGTGCCGGGGGGGTAGAGCCTCCCTGCCCCAGACTGCTAAAGCTCACTCATCCAGACATAATCTGCAGGATGGTTGTGTCAGCAGAAGAGGAATTATTTGATTCCCACTGATCTTCAAGAAGCGAGTATGGCTGTCTGGGAAGGGGTAGCATGGAGCTCTGCTCACCCACTGTTGGGCAACAAAGCAAAGGTCATCAGGGTTCTGTCCCCCGCCCTGCTTAACCCTCTGCTATGGTGGGCCACCATCCCCTTCTGCTCTCTGTCTGGCTTTTCAGGCAAAGCTTTTCAAGCAAATTTCACATGCTGTAGAGCATGGTGATTTGTGTGACCACACAGGTTTCCTCCTGGACAAAGCCTTTGACACCTCATGTTTTAACATGAGCAAAAACAGGGTACAGGAACACCTGTACCAGTGGTAACATGATACCAGCAGTGATGACCACGGGAGACTTAGGCAGGACTTCAGCCAAGGTCATGCCAGATCATCTTCTGCTGTCATCACCCAGTCAATGCTCATGCCTTACACACACCTGTGGGCATCGTATTCCCCCAGCCTGTTTAGAGCCAGGCTCCCATCATGTCTCTATGTGTGCCATCAGCCCCTGCTCACCCTGGTCCCACTGCAGTGTTTCTCCCAGCCCCATGCGGAGAGCTGTGAGCCCTGAGGATTCAAACACTCCTGCTGAGCTTTCAGCACAGTTCTGTTTTCAATCTGAAGATAAGCAGGAAAACCACAAGGTTCACAGGTCATCATCATGCTGGAGATAAGTGAAACCTGGCTTTTTCCTGTGAACGCCCATGCTCTGAAAGACAGAGATTAAAGGTGAAAAGATGCATGCTGAGGGAGAGACTCACTGAACTGAATGAGGGGTGAGAAGATGGTGCTGTCCATCAGAGCCCACATTGTAGCTCAGAGTATGCATTTAGGAGTAAGATCATGTTGACCTATGCCCAAAGAAACTGAACTCATTTTGCAGGACTCCCCACCTTGAAATGGAGATAACTTCTGGTTTCTTCTGCCAAAGGCTATATTTCATTTGGGGACAGAGAAACGAGAGTTTCTGTAACTAATATTCATGTATAAAATACACAGGGAGGTGCTGGGAGGTAGCTGGATGGCATGTAAGCAGAGTCTCCTGGATCCTGGTTATGCTCAGCTCTGTGGAATTCGCAGTTCAATTAGAAACTGAATAGTAGACAGCCGAGAAGAAGAAGGAACCAATTTGTTTTGAAGTCAGACCTGAATGCAGCTTAGTCTTAACAGCCCCAGGCCCCTTGTTGCCAGCAGCAGAAAATGTTATCCTTTATCACACCCACCAGAGTGTCAAACACCACCCAGTGCCAGCATGACTCACATCAGTAGCAAGCAATGCCTGCCACCAGGGATCTGTCTTTAACTATCTCCATACAGATGGAATGCCTGGGAAGTGGGTGGCCAAGGTGGCTTTCCCACATCTGCCCCAGCCTGGAGGGCTGCTGGCAGCACAGACGTGAAGGAATCCAAAGGAAACCCCTGATAAGCTCTCACTATCACAGTGTGGAGATGCCACAAATTCCTTGAAGACATGCACAAATCCGCTTGGACTCTGCCCAGCTTCTCCCAGTACCCCAAGGAACTCTACAGGCACTGTAAAGCAGTGGAGGCCTGGCTCTATATCGGCCTAACCCCATCATCCTTATGCCTTTCCCTTGCCCCTTTGGCTGCTCTCATGCTCTTCTGGGAGACAGAAAAGTAGAGCCAGGTATGATGGATCCGTATGGTTTACCATCAGTCTACACAAAAAGCCATTTACTCAGAGAAAGCCACAGAAGCTGGAAGAATAAGTTATTTGTCTGACTCTCATAGTTTCCCAGCACAAGTCCTACACAGCAGCAGAACTGACAGCTCCACAAACGAGTGCTCACTGAGCAAAGGCACCAACATGCAGCCTGCTCTTCAAAGCACAGGGACTACACAGCAGCCATCACATGCAGCACAGGTATTCCCTGCCCATGGCAAACACTAAAGATTGTCTTTTTTGTCCCTGTTTGTTTTTGCACACACAAGCACACACATATTCATATTAGGTATTTCCTAGTGAAGAAGTAACTGTTGCATACTACCTTTGCAATTTTAACTTCATAGGAATCTTCCTGAGTCAAAATATTTATTTATAAACCCATGAGAAAGGCAGAGGCTCTGTTCCCCTCTCCCGGTGTGTATGTGCGAAAGCTGTCTGGAGCCATCTCAGGGTGGGCTTGTGCAGATGTGATGGGCACCTGACCCAACACAGCCTTCAGATCTGCCACAAGGCCAGCACAGTGTCAAACCACAGTGGGTCTGTGAGCCTATAGGTATCAATTCTTGCACCCTGAAAGTTAATGTGTCGAACTGCAAGATGAGCCACAGCAGTGCCTGGCTGGAGCTTTCACCTCCAAAAGTAGCTGCTCCAATTCATACAGTCTACCTGAAAACGTAATGCTATGCTAACGTGGTTTTGCCTGCTTACCCTGAAGCTATTGAACAAAAAGCTCAAACTGCTTTTTGTGCTCTGGGGCTTGCAGTCCATCTGTACAAGTCCTTGTTACATGCCATGGATGAAAAAAAAAAAAAATGCCAAAAGATTGTTACACAAGGTAATGGAGGGAAAAATCCATCAAGGGTTGTTAAACACAGGTGCTCCTCTACTGGTCTCTCAGTTGTGAACTACTGGAGATTATAAAATAATTCCAGGAAATTTTTTTCACTTTTTTTTCTATTCACATACTCTCTTTCCATCATACATAAGAACTACTTCATGAATACAACCAGCCTGTATGACCACTGTCCACTGTCTCTGGTGTCCATTGGAAAAGGCTGTCCATCACTCTGGTCACAGGAACAGAAGATCTTTTATTAGCATGCTGTTGAATTGCTGAGTTGACCTTAGGAGAAACCAGTCAACTTGAAAAATTCCCAGCTGTCTTCAGCAGTCACTTCTCCTTGCTCAGTTCCCTTTTCCCAGCAGGTGACCAAAGCACCTCATTCAGAATCAGCTTGTGGGGAGCAGAAAAGACATTTAGATAGGGCCAGAGAAGAGAGCTGCTTCACGGAGTGCTGCATGATTCTCACAGAAGCAACTGCCCTGGCTTTGTGCCGGAGTTCCCATCAGCTTCTGCCATCAGCTCCACCATGTTGCTCTCTTCTCCTCTCCAGGACATTGCCTCATCATGGTGAGGCCAGTGGTCAAAAGCCCCTGAAGAGCAGGTGTGACCGTGCTTCTAACAATACAACGGGTCAGGCCAGCAGAGAAGCTTCCTCCAGTAACCACAGCACCTACTGTAATGCCTATGGCAGTGCAACAATTCAATGGCATTTTAGATAAAGTGAAAGTTGGAGCTGTTGGAGAGGGTCCAGAGGAGGGCCACAAAGATGATCAGAGGGCTGCAGCACCTCCACTACAAAGACAGGCTGATGGAGCTGAGCTTGTTCAGCCTGGAGAAGAGAAAGCTCTGGGAAAACCTCATTGCAGCCTCCCAGTATTTAAAAGAAGATTGCAAAAAGGAGGGGAATCAACTTTTTGCTTGGGTAGACAGCGATAGGACAAGGGGAAATGGTTTTAAGCTCAAGGAGGGAAGATTTAGGTTGGATGTAAGAGGGAAGTTCTTTACTACAGGACTGGTGAGATGCCGGAATAGGCTGTCCAGAGAGGTTGTGGATGCCCCATCCCTGGAAGTGTCCAAGGCCAGGTTGGATGGGGCCCTGGACAACGTGGGGGCCTGCCTGTGGCAGAGGGGTTGGAACTTGACGATCCTTGGAGCCCTTTCTAACCCAAGCCATTCCATGATTCTATGATTCTAAGAAAGTTTTAGAAGAGGGAGAGCTATTGCACTGTCTGGAATCTCTCCTCCCTGCCCCAGAGCTGGAGGAAGTCACATTGCATAATTTAAAAGCAACCAAGAAGCAAAAACAACTTGAAAACTCAGCATGGGGAATAATCATGCCCTAGTTTAGGGCAGTAAATAACTGACTTGTTCTTGTTCCTCTCATATTTTATTGCCTCTGGCATTTGTACAGTACTTCACGGGCGAAAGCAGCCTAACACAGCAGAGAGCATGTGCAGGCACCATCTCCCCACCTGCACTTGTCCCTTCTGCACAGCCCCAGGATGAGAACAATCTTTCTTTATCGTTCTTTAGTCCTCCACCAACATCTACCTTAGAAGAAACAAAAGGAAAATCTTATGACTGGCAATTTTGTGGGATAAAATATTTTTATCATATATAGCCATAGGTGGTTTGGGAGGGATGCCTAAGCCCAAGATGATCTGTTTTGGATACAGCTGGATTCTGAAAACATGTTTCTTCAAACATGCTTTTTACACTCCATTTAGTTATTTGTATCACACAACTACACCACACTCATTGGATCCTGAATGGTTTGGAAGTACCACTAAAATATCTATCACAAATGCCTTTTCCCATCAGCAACAACGTGATGAAAGAACTCCTTCCCTGATCAGCATCTGTGCAGAACGAGAAATGAACCAGCAGTGACAAAAACATGTTTTGTTCTAGGTTGTCAGCATCGAGGAAAAAATATGTTCATAATTCGTGTTTGTTGATTCAGACTTGCTAACAGGATAACTAACTCAAACAAGACAAAGAAACAGAGGTTAATACGTCATAATCACCTTTAAGTTCTCAATAGGCCAACCTTAATCTGTACCCCAGGGTCAAAGTCTAAAGTATTCTTTCTTCACGTCTGTATTAGGTAACTCATAAGGTATAATATAAACCAAATAGACATCTCTTTCTTAGAACGAAGATGTGTCCTTTGGCTAAAGCCATCCTGACACTTGGGGCTTTCTCCCTGCCAGAGGACAGCCCACAGTCTGGGAGAAAACTCTACATCCTCTAGATGTTTCCTCCATTGTCAGCTGGTGCGGTGACCTGGATGACCACCAGTCATTATCTTACACAACGAAGACATCGCTCCCACGCTCATTGAACCACCCAACCATCTCTTGTCTGAGAGCACTGCATCCCTCCCCAGGTGCTGTCAGCACTTTCCACAGCACTCAGTCTTCATCAGAGGTTTCCCTTTCAAGCGCTGACCTGTCCTGCCCAATCAGTCCTGCTCAGCTTTCAGCACCTGATACCATCATAAGCCAAGAGAAACGTAAGCAAAGGATAGGAACAGCGGATAGAGATCTAAAATAGGCAATTACACATAC